CCTCCAAAGCCAGCTGTTACATCCTCGTTGCCCCGTAGGTGTGATGGAGGTGGTGACGTCACTGTTAATGGTTCTTCTCTCTTGCTGTGCTAGAATTGGGAATAAACGTAAAGGATAAATACGAGGAAGGGAGACGTGATGATGTGATGATCTGTCTCTCGTTCTTCGGTGATGGTGGTGTGATGAGAGAGTGTTAGTGATGATGGTGATGGTGATGATATTAATAGTAGTGGTGGTGTCAGTAGTGATGATTGTAATGTTAATGATGGTGATGACAATAATGGTAGCAATGGTGATGATTATAATTGTAATGATAATAGTGATGGTATTGACAATTATGATGATAATAGTTGTTATATTCATGATAATACTGATGATAAGGACAATAATGATAGTAGTAGTAATAATAACAATAGTAATATTGATAATAATAATGATAATAATAATAATAATAATAATAGTAATAATAATAATAATAATGATAAAGATAATATCATCATCATTACTATTATTAATTATGAAGATGATGACAATAATATTAACAAATATAAAAACAATAATGATAATAAGAATAACAAAATAATAACAAGAACAATAGAAATGACAATATCGACAACAATAACAATGTAAAGTACAACCAAAAAAATAACAACACCCTTCAAGAAAATCCCCACCAACACAATTAAAACAATAACAATAATGAAGTTAATTAACAACAAACAACAACGCATAGATTCCCAGCCAGCGAAAAAAAAGAGCAACACAAACTCCGCCCAGAAATATTTTTACCTAACTGGAGACAAATCAGAAGACCTTGTATAATGGTAATAAGGTGATTGGACCACGCCCTTCGGTGCTAAAACTTTCGAGGTCGCATGCAAAGTGCAACTCAGCAACGCCCCGTGGCTGTGGTCAGAGTACCTGCCTTCCTCTTGTCTAATGTCTCGTTATCTAACCCCCCCCCCCTCTCTCTCTCTCCAAAACGCGTATCTGTGTATTTACTGTTGCCCCCCCCCCCCCTTCTGTGTGTGTGTTTGTGTCTCTTTTTCTGGCTCTGTGTCT